GCATGCATCGTTTTGCAGTACGACGTCGTCGGCGCCGATCGGCGCGGTGTGTTGGCGTTCGCGACGGCGAAGGTCGATATATCGTAACAGCGGCCAAAAGACTGGTAAGCGCGGAGTTCGGGACAATGGGCATTATTGTTGCGGGTAAATCCTCTCGTGCCAAAATCGATGGGTCGGAGAAATTTTGGGTAAAAAAAAGTAAACAAGCTCCGCAATTGCTATTAAATAGGTCGCCCATATAATACGTATGGGTTTGGTACAGCGTAGAAAAGCCCATCGCAATCCGGAGATACCCACGAGTTACTTAAAAAATAGAAAGTAGTTTTGATATTACTATGCTTAGATCATCGTTTTGCTCTCTACTTGCTACGCGCCAAAAAAATCAGATCATACACTACGTGTACACATAAAAAACTGTTACCGCTGGCTGTGCTCGCGCGTTAAATGAAATGTATCGCGCGATAAACTATTGACACTCGTTTCCCACTGACGTGCGAAAAGAGCAGAAGCGATTCGGTCGAGACGCGGGCGCGATAAAAAAGCTCCAGATGGCGAAGCGTGCGCGAATTTGCGTGCTTTATCGGAGCGACGCTCGATGTTATCCTGCATACTCGCGGTGCAGCGATCGAGAGAGATGCGCTCAAAGGATCTCGTCGTGCTCGCGGCTCCCGCGCGATTGCGCAATTATACATTTTGGATTAAACTTTCGTGCAGAAAACGTGGTATAAATCACGTATTGCCGTACTCGGGGGCACGATTTTTCCTCGCTGCTACTGCTACTCCTGCCTCGTTCACTTATTTTATACGATTAATGTACGATTTACTATACACTTATGCACTTGTGCACGTTGACGCGCGAGTTTGAATAATTCATCATCGCGCGATCCGAGATATGTATACGAAGTATACATTAAAGTTGCCTTTTTTTGCCTGCCTCATTCTTTTTTCTTTGCATTTTTTTTACAACGTTTCGCGAGATTACGTAGAGAGAAAGATGTTTCGGAAAATTACCTTCGTCTTTTGCTTGAGGAATCGTGTGATTTTTAACAGGGGCTTGAGTACTTTAGTCTTTGGCATTTTGTAGCTGTTGTTGTTGTTGTTCATCTGTTGGTTCTCGAGATTTAAGTTGGCCACAGCCGAAGATGTGGTCTGTGACGCGCCCTGGGAACCCGTTGCGCCGCTCGCTGTCTTTGACGCCGCCGTAATTAACTATTTACTCCCGCAGGACTCGCCGACCAAAAATGTTTCGTTTTTTTTTGTTTTTCGTTTTTGCGTTTCACGAAATTTCGCGTACTTCCGAATTGTATCCGATAAAGCACACTACTATGATTATCGCACAGTCGTTTCTCACTTGACACTTTGTTACTAATACTGTTGAATTGGCTTCTATCTATTACTTATATATAATATAAGAGATGTGTATCACAGAATGTTGAAGCTTTGTCGAGCGCTCGTCGGTTCGCGGTCGGTCCGCAGTGAACTATGGCCGGAGTGCCACTGACAGCTGAGCTTTTAAAACCGCACAGTTAGCCGATCGCACGCGCAGAACGATGAGCGTCGACAACACACGGAGAGTATTCGCCTACATGTGTGTGTGCGCTCTCCGCACGTTTGTAAAGAAGACGCGTGCGCTACCGTATATGTGCGGGCTCTGGCTGTCTGACGGAGCGCGCCGCGGCTCTTTCTCCCCCAGCTGCGTCTCTTTCTTTCTCGTGCTCCGTATTATACGCTAGCGGCCGGGGTGCGCGAACGAACTACTGCGCAACACGTGCTTTCGTGCCGTGTTTCGATCGCGCACGTACACGCACGAGCGTGTTTCAGAGATGCGATGCGAGCTTTCGGGGCTATACTAAAGCCGCCGCCGATCGACATAAAGGAGAGGGAGGAAGTATCCAACTTTTTATATTAGGCGAGACACGCGCGCGCGCGCGACTAACGGTGGATTCGCATTTTTTTTATTACGCGTGAAATTACGTCAGTGGCCGCCGGGAATAACGTCACGAATTACCTGATTGAGTAATATATAATGCAGGGCGATACATGAAAAAAAAATTCTAATCGAACGACCGAATTCGATTCCGAGCGAGTGAATTAAAATCGCGTCGCTCTCGTTCGTTACGCCTGCATGGAAGATTTATATGGGTGCAGTCGCATTAAGAACGGACAGCTTATAGGTCGATTAGCAACGAGAGACGACGACTCGCGACGCGTCGTTATGACGATTTGCATTTCAAATCTCGTGCTCCACGCGGCTCAAGCTGCGCGCGTATTACTTATGTGTTGGCACGCCCGCTCGCGCTTATTAATCCTCCGATGTAGTTTTAAAATTGGAGCAGTTCCCTGGAAAATATCGCATTTCGCTAGATCGGATGCTCGGGGTATTATAAATAATTTTCTTTTTTTTTCTTTTTTTCGTTTTTTTCGCGATACGTAACATAAACAAAAAACATAAATAAATAATGATAGGAGCTCGGCGACCAAGACGTCGTCGACGGACGAAGTAGAGGATCGTCGGTATTTTCGCGGCTTGTTTTTCGTCGAGATTCGTAAGTTAAATTTAGTCACTCGCGCGAGTACTCGTATTTTCAATTATGCATAATAATTTCTTACCGCGCGGCGCGGTGCACATGCCTCGAGTGGCTATTATTAATCGTGCGCGCGCTCGCGTATCTCGCTGCAGCATCGACCTGCGCCGTCGTGTTGTTTTCAAGCATCGAGATCGGCAATCGTTTGGTCGTTTGTATCCAAGAGATACACAGAGAGAGCGCGACAAAAAATTTTTGGGCTCGATTGCGCTCGTTCGCGAATCGTAATCGTCGAGGATTGTTGTTTTTTTTTGCGTCGTTCTGTTGCACGACTTTGGCTCATCTCTTTAGAGTCTACTTCAAGTACTTGTATCACGTACACAAACACAGTATCTCGCGTCGTCGCTGCAGAATTATGATGAAAAATATAAAGCCGTTGAGCATATTGATAAAATGAGCCATTTTTATAATGCCGATACGATCGCTCGATAAAGCTTCATTATACATACGTTACATGCATTCAAAACAAGGCTGATATCATCGATCGTTTCGGTCTTTTGAATAATGTTTTGTGACTTCGGATCAGCGGTCAATCCAATTGACAAGATATAGCCCAAGTGCCGGACATCAATCATTTTTTTTTACGGCGATACTTGTTTACTGCTTATGTGTACGTACGCAATTTTTATTAAAAAAAAAAGATCAATTCACGCAATAAGGTGAAAGATCGAGATGAGAAAGACGCGCTCATTATCTTTATTGTCCAGCGCTGATACTCGATCTGCGTCCAATTTTTCGAGGATCTTCGAATTTGATTTGTTGGCCACGAACCGATTAGATCATTTACAGCACACTTGACGTACATTTCCCAAAAAAATCCACTCGATTAAAGAAATTAATTATAAATGCGTAATAATAAAAACAACGCCCTCCACTTGTGTGCGTGTGTGTGTATTTTTCCCCAAAAAAACCCGCGTCACGTTTCAAGAGGCGGTGAGCGCGCGACGACGGCTCGCGCTCGAAGATTTAGGACCGCGGCTAATTCGATCTATAACGGAGCAAGGCACCAGAGCGCGAAATAATAGGCAAACGATCGAGCCAAGAATTTCCTCCGGAAAACAGAGATTCTACGCCTTTTTTATTGGCATACGTGACCATTGGCAAGTACAGCTGCCGCTCGAGTGCACCAAAAACCCACACAGATATCCCCACACGCACACACTTATATCTTTGTTATTATGCTCGCGGATCAAGCCTCTTTTTATCATCATCATCTGCGTCGTGTGCTGTGCAATTGCTTGGATATAATAGATCATAATCTGTATAAACATACGCTGCTCGGGTGTATAACAATCGAAAAAATTGATATGATTTACTTAATTAATTGTGGCTGTCTAGCGCAGATCGACCAATACTAATTTGAACTTTTGTTTATGCTAACGATCGAAGGTTAACACCGCGACTGTTTTCTTAGATACCGATAATCGAGCAATTAAAACCGATCGTATTATTTTCGACCGTGAGTCATACCCGTTTCATCTCTCGCGCTCGTGCGCAAAAATAAAAGAGAGAAAGTGAAATAATCGGGGAAGTAATCATCGAAAGGCTTATCACTCGTGACTGATTTTAAGCAAATCGCCTGCTGGTCTCGTGCAGAAAAATCGCTAAAACGATTAAGCTAGTCGGCTGGTTTTCGGCTGATATCATCGAAGAGAAATTTTTACGGTCGAGCTTTAATTGGCTAAATGCACGTCCACGCTCCATTGCGTTGACGCACGGCTCATGCATGCACTTAATCTTTGTTATTATATGTCACTAATTATTAACATTCATAAGTATGCAGAACATATGTAATCTGGTCGTAATATTTGATTTTGTGCCGAGATTTGACTGACTACGTGGAATGTCTCATGCAGCCCTTTCCTTTTTCTTATTTAAATTAACGTCGAGGTTAAACACACAGATGATATTTACACGGTGGGTATACATTTGCTTGTGATACACGTATATAATTACAGCAAAAAAGATATACTTTCAAATTGTTCTCGAGATCGTTTGAAAGATAGAAATATAAGATCAATCATTTAGACTGTATCGTGATATCGATGATCAGTGCCATATAATGCGTAAATATATAATAATATGAATATACAAAATAGTATACTAAACATTTAACTAAACGTGCTGTGCTATGTTCATCTATATCTATTGTTAATTGCATCTAAAATGCCGATGCTGCCGAGGTCATCATGCAACGCGACTTTTTTCGTTGCCTCGTTACAGAAAAGAGTCACTAATCAGCTATATGCATAATAATATAATATGGAAGGAGAAATGACTTGTTATTAACAAAACATCAACAGTGGGCTATGTTCGGGTTCTGTCTGATCGTATTTCATGTGAAAGTATAAGTAAAAGGTATAAGTTTTCGTGGTTTGGTGGATTTTTGTTGTTGTTGTTGCAACACTGATATACCTCGGGATCCTGGATCTGAAGCTCAGAGTCGGCAGACGTGCTCGAGGTCTTCAAGATGGTGTAGAGCTTTACGTACGGGGCCTTGATTAGCTGTTTTAAAGGTTTTGTTCTTTTTATTTCGACTCGTTCAATAACAAATGACTACTGAGGGCTAATTAAATGTGAATTTCCCTTATAAGGATGGAGTACGTGCAGTTTACGTAACAACCCGACAAATTAATTTCATCGAAGAATAACTTATCAGAGCAAATTGCACTAATTCATCTCTGTAGGTAATAACAATGCAAGTCAAAAATTTAATAGCCCAAGCGCTGACGCATTTTGAGATCGTGCGATCGGTGCAGCGCCGAGCTTTAGGTTTTCTTGTTGTGAAAAATTGTCCAAACGTCGTCGTGTCTCTTTGTTTTGAAGCTAAGCCATCCAACGACGGCGATTCGGCAATAAACGACCGAGCTCGCGCGCGTTAACAAACTCGGGCCAAGTATGAACTTAGCTCGCGCGTTGCCAAGAAACTATTTTTGGACAGAGATCATCAGCTTGCGAGCTTTCTCGTGCGAGCGAAACGCGCACGGAGAGAACGTGTACCTTTAATGCTGCGGCCGAGACGAGGTACACAGCACTTCGTTGCTAGCCGACGACGATGACTCTCGGTCGGCGCAATGCGACGATGCGTTTCGATAAATTGCCAATGTATCGTTTTGCACATTATCTTACGTAAACAATTCTGCCCGATTCTGGAGCGAACTCGAAATTTCTCGAGCACGAACGCGCACTTTGACGATGGAGAAATTTAAGGATAATTCATAACCGTGAAAGTAAAAAAAGAGACGATGCGCTTACCTCCCAAGATTCACGCGTGAGCTCCGCTGCTATCTCGGCGGTCTTGCTCTCGCCGTCTTTGGCCTCGTCAGCGGCCGAGTCACCAGACTCCCCACCGGCGATGTCGCGCTGCTGCAGCTCTGGTGACAGGTCCGTGTCCGTGTTGGACAGTATGTAGCCCTGACCGGCCCAGTACTCCTCGTCGAGCTCGCCATAGAGCCATGGCACCCAGTGGTTCAAGAATCTGTACAAGTCGTCGACCCTGGAAAGAGAAGCGAGAACGCACGAAATTATATTAACGTTTGAGAGCACGCGCGAACGACAAATTTGCGGCTGCTGCAAGCACGCGGATATAGTGTATAATTTAATTTTCTGCGGCATTCCTTTGATGTGGACGCGAGCATACGTTATTTTTAATCATATCAACATTTCATCGCTAAGATATTCACGAAATGATCTAATAATATCGCATAGTTTTGGGTAAGACAAATATCTCTCGACTATTAAAGAGATTGTTATGAAATTTTTCGCTCGATGATGTGTTCTTCGCGCTGTAAATAAGATCTGATCGTAAAAACAAATGCTCTTCGAGACTCATCGCGTCTTTATCTTTACCAAAAATGTCCAAGTTCTCGCCGAAAAATGATTAATCGCTCGGTTATAATGTTGCTTCTTACATGCGTAAGAATTCAGATTAATGACTCATCGTCGTTCGCACTTTACACTTGTTTCGTGTATTCAACTGACATTTCGCGACATCGGACAAGAATTTTGACATTTGTAAGAGGAGTATCAAGCTCTCTCGCGAAGCTATTTAATAATACAACAGCTGTAATCAAAATGTACGAAAATCGAGTGTCGCACCTGAAATCCGAGAATCGTGACGGTTCATTTGATGCACAAATAAGCACGCGGTATGACATCAATGCAAGTCGCAAATGATCTGAAAACCCGCAACGCATAATTCATTATCGCTTATCTGATCAGGCCTCGGAAATTTATCAGTGAATTCTATTCGCAAATTTTTTCCGATCAACGTTTGGAAATAAATGAAGATTAATCGTTTCCGCAAATTTTCAATGAGATGACTCAAAAAATGTCAGTGGCATTAGAACCGCGTGCCAAGATTCGACTGTTGCTTCACCAGAGACTGTATTTATAGTCAAGTTTAATTACACAAAAAAAAAGAAGATGTTGTCAATTTGCCATATTGTAATCTTATCGATCGGCGCCCAACCTAAATTCTGTGCAAAATTATTGGCCAACGATCGGTTTGTTGCTCGTGCGTTGAGAAGCATCGCACCCAGCGAGCGCCAAAAGCCATACGTGTGTAATACGAAGAAAGTCAAATATTTTACGAGGCGATCGATAACGAGAGACCGAGAGAGAGAGAGAGAGAGAGAGAGAGAGAGAGAGAGAGAGAGAGAGAGAGACAGAAAAAGAGAAAGACACAGAGTATGTGCGAATGTAGAGCTATCATTGATTACCTTTGATGGCAATAGTTGGTGACAACGTTCACCATACCGCCCGTGTAATCCTGAACCAAATGCCGCATGAAATTCATTTCTGACCGGTTTGTAACTGTATACGAAATGGCGCGACACTACTGTACTGTACGTTTACAATTCGCGAAGAAAAAAAGAGAAGTAAAAATAAAAGACAAGTTAAAGCAATATAGTTGGTTTCGGAGTATAGTCGGGAACGTCGAGTTTTCAGTGATAACGACACGCGACTGCCTTCGTACGTACACATAGAGATATATAAGTGGAGCGAACGTGCAAACGTGTGGCCGATAAGAGCCTTCTACATGATAATTGTTTAAACTTGCGCGACTTTGTTACTGTAGGTACAGTATGTAGTTATGCGAGCGATTTTTTCTTTTAACCAACCCGATAAGTCGACGTCGTTGCTGTTGCACAGAGCACCAGAATAAATAATAGTCGTCTAGTATTTACATCGTCGCGGCGGGTAAGCACGCTGAAAAAGCTCCTTAAAAAGCACAATTGCGACAATAACAAGCGAACATGTAAATGTATTTAATCACCACAACATTAAAACGAATCGAAAAACAGAAAAGATGGACGCAATCCAAAGAGACGAGTGTATAAAGGTATAGAGGAGCGCAGCTCGACGCTATATAACTAAAGTTTCTAATAAGTCACGTGAAAATCGAGCAGCTAGCGCGCATAGGTATACAGTCGCTCTCGCGCTGTGCGCACCGTTCCGCTCATAGAGGTGGAAACACGTGGCTCGGCCCCACTCTCCAGTGCATCGGCAGCGGCGGCGGCAGCAGCAGCAGGAGTGGTAGCGCTCGCGATCTTCTACAATGTATATATCTCCATTTTCCGCCTTATTTTTCTCTATTTTTTTTCGCTGTTCGCGTCGATGCGCCGCGGTGCGTGCATCCGCACGTGACATAGACTCATCCGCGAGAGAGAAACGAAAAAGGCTTATGTATATTGGCGCGCGATGTGTGTATGGTTTACCTTTGAGCGACGACGCGCTCCGTTGAACTCTGAGAGATTCGATTAAATTCGCGCGGATCTCGTATGCATGGAATAATCGCGGCACGCGAGTAAATAAAACGCCGAGTAACTTAACTCGTTCGCAGAATCTTTTGCCGCTGCTCCTTCTGTGTTTTCGCAAAAGCACGAACTTTGATCATCGAAAGTTATATCTCGCAAACGGGAAACATTGTTACGCTGAATTCTCAAGCCTTCTGATTCTACAACGCTGCGAACGATCTATTTATAACTTGTTTGTTCGCTTCTCTGTCTCTGTTCCTCGCTCGGTGTGTGTGTCGATGCGTCCGCGCGCGCGACTGTGTGCAAGCAAAGCATTTGGCAAGCTTCGCCGATGATAAAGTAATGCACGAAGCTCACTCTCATCGGTTCGTTGCATGGTTATTTAATCGCTGTTTTCTACGCTTGACTAATTTCGGCCACGTGTGCGTGGCACCTTTTATTAAGATGTCTGCGTCAAAGCGATCATTGTGGCATTCCTCGACTCGTTAATTACCTGTTTCGCGGTATGCTGAACCAGTACTCTGGACGAATTTTCTTCTTGCCGTAGCTCATGATCGGCGTGGACCAGGGGATTTTCTTATCCTTAGGCCGGCCGGTACGCAATCGCAGATACAGTGGTGGATCCTCGCAGGAACGAGCTGGCCTTGGAATCAGTTCTGGGGAAAATAAATAACGATCGTTAATATTCATCGGAAAAAATGCACTACTGTTATTGACAAATGCATCAAGTTGCTAAAGACACTCTTTTATACACTTTTCGTTTTCGTATTTATCTCATTGCGATGACCGCTCAACACTTATGATACGCAAGCACAATACGATAATTATTTTCTTTTCTTTTCGTCCAACAAACGAAGCTTTTCTTTATACAAAAAATGAAAAAAAAAACCCAAGCAAATAATCTCATTAAATCGCACACGATCGAATATGTTTAAGTAATGCATACATGTGTGGCATGACGAGCAATGGACGTTTATGTAAATATATATAATACTCCGTACGATAAGGAAGCAGGCATATAGTAATAAAATACTTATTGATAAGAGCAACTGTTGATCTATGAACTGTTTGCTCTGATGGATGCGTTTGACAAGCAACTTACATACATGTACATGTCATGTTATTGTGCATTAGTAGCACTGATTTTACTATCACGTAATATTTTGTGTATCATTAATATTGATGTTTACGGTGATTTTCTAGCATGACACAATACAATAATGTTATACACTTTACGTGGTTTAACGTGACTTAATGAATCATACAAACATAACTCTAGAATGTTACAGGGTTCTACGATATTGTGACGTGTTTATACAGATAAAAAGTATGGCACTCTTCGATATCGGGCCCTGTCTTGTTAAAGGCTTTGGAGGCGAGAGAGGACAAACTAGAAAGAAGCTGTCAATGCACAAAAAAGAATCACATGTGTAATGAATAAAACAAATCAATTACTGCAAATGAGTGAACAAACGGATATCATATTAAATATATTTCGAACAAGCTAAATTACTGTATAAACCTACCGAGACCTTCGAGCTCGGGAAAATTAGGTGCTTGGACTAGAGAGGGATAACAGAAATTATATTGATGATATTACAATGTATTAGATATAATTTTTTGTTGCTTTTATTGCTTAGAGCAATGCATTATGAAGTCGGCTGCGATGAAACAACTACCATATTTTACAATCACAATTATTTATAATCGCTGTGACATGAATATCAATTGCTTTTTTTTAAGGCGATTTGCGATATGTGCGCAATGAAAGTGAGGCTTATTATGAGTTTGCAGTGTGTAATTATAACGATTGTAACAGCGGATTTCATAATGCAAATGATAATACGTAACAATTAAAAAAATTAAATGTTGACTTTATCTCACGGTTTGCAAAATCGATTTCAAAAATGATTGTTATTGATATATCGGCAAACGATTTACGCTAATGAATGTAAGACGACGGAAACGACGCTAAAAACACACATACAAGATTATGGCGAGACGATAATATAAAATGAATATAATTATATATTTATAAAAATAATAGTGCCACCAGCGATGAATTATTGTAAATCGAAAACAAGTATACAAAAAATTATTCATATTCATAGCGAAAAAAGTGCGGTAAATATCGCATGAGCCAAAAATGTTGGTTGTTTCAAATTTCGACGAACAGTAACGAAAAAACGATCGTAATAACAATTGTATTTAGGAAACGTATCATTTAGCTCTTATTTTCTCGAAAAATTTTGATAGATTAAAATAGATACTCACTATCAAAACTGACAAATAATTCAGGCATATCCTCGACTGATACCATGCTCCGATAGTCAAGGCGAGGCGCTGCCGCGACTGGTTTGTTGCCTTTTGCGCTATCGACGCTACTACTACCTGACGAGTTGAGTGGCTGCTGCCTGATGAACGTTCCAACCGAGGAGCGTCTAAAAAATGGAAAAGAAAAATTAGAATATTTTAAAATACGATTTAACATTTATTCCTAAATGATTTGTATGCCGTCCTCAAAGATACGTCTATCAATTGAACAAGTGATTTGTTGATTACGTAGCTTCGAAGATACGCGGCAATAACATTTAAAGTATTTTGACAGGCATTTAACATTTAACGTACAATTCCTCCGGTGCTGTGAAGTTCATTTTTACAAGAGCTTATTAACTACGGCAAAAATGCTTTCTATTATGTACTCATACGAACTAATCACTTTCTGTCAAAAATGGAAAGCATCAAGCAGGCTATGATAATGTATAGGCATTGATAAACCATGCTGATATGAAGCTAATACACCTGCTATACAGTATATTTATAAGTTTTTTTTGTTGAATTGGTGATAAACATTGAAATTCGGTTAGGATTCATTGAAAGTGTGGGTAAGTCGCAGATGTATCCGAATACAGCTAAATCTTGTATTTTTCCGCATGAGTTTGTACACAAAATATATCTTTAGAAAATTATCTATTTTCATAGTAGCAGTCCTATCATAACGTAACAACACATTTGAGGATAATGATGCAGCACTAAAAGAACAACACGATAACACTCAAATGCTAAATTGAATACATCTACAGATATTTTGAATTATATGTTGTATATTCTGATCTACCAAAACTAGTAAGCTCTGCTTAGAAATTTTTAATGTAGTAAACAAGACCTTTGACATTTTAAACAAAATAAGGAAGTATAATTCTCCAAGCAGAGCGTACATGTATGTGTAACATCAACAATCTTATTTGAAAATTTTCTGATTGTGTATTTTTTCAACGCACAACGCAGTGCAGTCAAAAAGTCAATATTTCTTATAGAAATATTGCATAAAAAATTATTTAATATAGGAATATCGTATAAATAAATGAAGCTCATTGATCAACAACATCAGTAGTAGAGGATATATAATAATAGAAAGTTGGAGAGATAGTAGAGTAGACAAGTAAGTACAACATTGCAATAAGGAAGTACAGTCTAGCTGTTAGACAGAGATTCATGATTTTGATGGGAACTCACCCAATAAAACCAGGCGAAAATACAGGATTACTCGAGTCCTGTGACAGAGATGAGGCGGTCAATGGAGGTGTACCTCCTGCTCGACCGCCGCTCTCTTCACTTGGCGTTTTGGCGAACAGGCCAGAACTAAAGTCACTCACCAAGTTGATCGGCGAGCTTTAGATTTTTAGTTCGTTTATCGCAACGCGCAACGCAGCACACGCATACATACAAGTTTTTGGTTAGTTCACATGAGAGATTAAATTATGACAAATGATGGTAATCGTATACATTTTTTGTGTTAAAAAGAACTTTTTTTACTAAACGCGTTAGCAAGACTTATAATGTACATTAATCAATGCAAAGCTGTCCTAGGCATGATCAGCAAACGAGAGCTTGTAATTGTTTTATTTTAATTTTTAAAGCTAAAAGTTCTGCATGGCTCTGTGGCGAGCTTTTAATTTATATATGACGCAGTATACGTATTGATTTACAGCGTAACGTATTTTATTATAAAAAATCATGCACTAGAAAAAATTGATATCAATAATTGAATATCATAAAAAACTTGAATACATGAATATGCTTGGTAAAAATTTAACGATTTAACGTAGTAAAATTTTGGCAAAAAGTTGTAACTTTCGGCTTAGTTATGATGATAAAAGTTAACAATACTATGTGTTAATTGATGATTCTGAATGGAGAACCTACCTGGAGAAAACTTTACTAAACACTGACGAATGATGGCTATCAGCACTGCTGGGTACACTCGGTATTTTGTCGGAGGACGACGGTGGCTTGGCACCTTCTTCGTCCTTCGATTCACCAGTCAAGCCTTCCATCCAAGACAATGGATAGGAGAGTCGTTTCAACATCTAAAAGGCAAATAATCGTAATTCAGTATTTCATTGAAAGACGATCACGATAAGAGTAAAGATAGCAAACCTTGTTTTTACGCGTCTCTTGCTTGTCATCGTCTTTGTGCTCGTCGTCCTTGGCGTGCTCGTCGTTGCTACTGTCCAAGCTGAACGACACGGAGCCGGTCTTTTTCCTACCGTTCGCTTCGGTGTCGGGCTCGAGGGTGTTGGTCGTATTGGTTGGTACAATGGTAACGGGCGGCACCCAGTCCGAGGATAGAACGATGTCGGCGTCCGAGTAAACTTTTTTCGCTACGATTGGCTGTACAACTGGTAATGGTGCAATGTTGGGATCGCGAATGTCGATACCCGAGTCGTGGCACGACTGCTTGACTAGAGAACTCTCCTCGTCTTCTGGTATAATGACATTGGATTTCGATGAGTCGGCCTGCGTGCGAAAAAAAGTAAAATTAGTACGGTGTCTAGCAATTCTTGTCGTGAAATATAATTTATTAAAAGTACTTTTTCAGAGTTGAGAGAATCTTGCTGCTCGTCATCAACGGAGAAGGAGCATCTATCTTTGCTCGGAACTGCCCAGTGATGATCGAGCATGGAACGCCTGCGTTCTTCAAGAGTCCTGCTCGATTGGCCGCCGCCAATCTCATCCTTTGCCGCTTCGCTGGAAGCTTCATCTTTCTTTTCTTCGTCATCTTTGTCTTTGGTCGTAGACTCGTCCTGCAAAAACATTCACGATGAAATAAGAATCGAAAAAATGGTTTAGTAAATACAATTGACGATACATACAGCTGACTGATCGGCCGGCTCGACGAGCTCTTTAGAACTAGATTCACCGCCCTCCTTCTCGGCTGGTGCACAGCTACAGACGCTCTCGCCATCGTCGACGGTCAATTCCGGGAAAGATTCGTCCTTGCCCGGCGACGAGTTCGACTTCGACTGCAGCTGCTGATCGAGCGACGGGGCCGGGGTGGGCGGCACTGGCTTCTTCATGTAATAGATCTCGGGCTTCTTCTCGGGCGGCCCGACCTCCGTGTGGCCGACTCGCATGTGGGCGATGTCGTAGTAGATCGCCGCGTTCACGATGAACTCCATGGGGGCGATCACGCCGTAGGACTCGGGCCCGTGCTCGATTACCAACGGGTCCGAGACGTTCGGGTCGAACATCACGGCGTTCGGAGTGACCAGCAGGACACCACCGACGACACCCTGCATCAAAAGAATGAGAGTTAGTAGGGTACTTATACCAGTGATTGGCCGCTTTCAACCAGTAAATGACCACTTTTGGATGTGCCATAATTATCGTTTTTCCTTGTTAAATTATGATCGAACATAGAAAACAAGATGCATCGTTCACTAAAGAATTGAATTACGTCCATACAAATACATTTTAATTGTTTTTCATATGATATTTTCCAAAATGGTCATTCACTGGTACCCGGTCATTGATTGGTCTGACTACCCTATATTTAATTTTTTTTTTTTTTTTAATTTTTGAAAAAAGCTCCAAGAGCTTTTATACATTATCATCTTTATTTTTGCATTTAAAAAATAATAAATAATATAAAAAAAAACTAGGACTAGATTTTGTAGGCATTTTGTGTCTCGCGCAGGTTTATATATATCTTATATATCGTACAACGTTAAATTATAAAGCATCGCATATCGATCAACTGTGAATTCTACGCCGTTTTTAGGTTACGTCTGTCTGAATAAGCACACACGCGCGATCTATATACGTAGTAGTAGGGTAAAAAAAGCTTCACACAATTGAGCGAGAAAACGATAATAAAATTGTATCTTCAATTTTACCTGTCCATCGGTGATGTGTCTGACTGTGATTTTGAGAAATCGTTCTTTGTAATGATGTCCATGCTCCATGGCACTGGAGCTTGGTGTTTTGACGCGTTCCAGAGGCTTCGGCGAGACGGGCCTCAGGTTGTCAAGCAGTTCTGCAGAAGAAAATAGCACAGACATGAATTATTTTTGCCTCTTTGATTATTCAAAAAAAGAGAGAAGATTTAATCGACAATTGGAATATCGCACGCGTTTGCGATGACTTTGGTGTATTATACGTAGCACTAATACGCGTAGTAAAGTGCAATACTACGCGTGTGAGTCCGTCTAACACGCCGAGGAGTGAATGTACGTAACAAGTAAACACAACAATGGATAGATACACGAGCTTACGTATAATGTGCGCGACGTGAGAAAAACTCGCTGCTGCTGCTGTTCGACTCATCCGCCGCGTTGTACTTTAGACGTATACACATATATATAGCAGGTTCGCCAGCTCAAGGCCGGTTCTAAGTTATGACTGTTTACGTATACTATATATGTAAGCGCGCGAACTATGACACGAGCGCGCTAGTATAGTGCACACATACACACAGAGACGCGATGCAGGTGACCTACTGAACAATTAATTTTTCAAGCCACGACTGACAGGCGATTCGAATCGCCGCGTATAGGCGGCTCACTTGCATACGGGAAAAAAGTTGCGATATACGCGTGTGTATACGTGCCTATGAGAACGTAGAAGAAGTAGCAAGAAAAAAAAACGTAAACACCGAGGGCGCCTTGCACAAACACAGACACACACGCGTGTGAAGCAAGCCACGGACACTTGCACTTGCTCCAAAGACTCTCGAGAGTTTCGCGTTCCGTTCCGACGCGCGTGTACTAAGCTTTTCTCGAAGCTTTCGTCGGTGCGAATAGTCGCGTGCGCATGTGCCGTAGCAGTAGCAGCAGCAGTAGCTTTGGAGAGCTTTCGCGTCGTCGAGCGCGCACGAGAGACACGTGTAGCAGCAGCTTGTTTGCTCATAAAAAGGCAAAAAACATTGAAAAATACTTTATAAGCGAGTTGTTGCACGAGTTCCAGCGAATATTTTATGCGAAGCGGAGAGAAAAAAAAATACAGGAAAAAGATTAGTTTCCGTTTATCGAGTAAATAAATGAATTTCGAACGGCTCTCGGGTTTATCGGAGATAATCGCGCCGCGCATGCCAAGTACGACGAGAGCCAAGTGCCGAGGGCGAAAAAGGATGGCACGAGCTGGAGAGCTATGCTATATGATCGCGTGGAATCATGCGCTTTGGCGACTGCTGCTACGTCGTCGTCGTCGTCGTCGTCTATCAGCTGATCGCGTTCTCCTATCCATGCGTGTGACGCGCGCGCGAAAAGGCCAAGCTCAGCCAACGCGCGAGTAAAGTACTGCGTGGCCGATAACGAGAGATGTATACAGGTATACGATGACAATGAAGTACAGCGTGGGTGGGCAGAGAAAGGCGTACCTTTTTCCTCGGACGGATGGTCGTCCTGCGACTCCTGGTCCTGCGTGGCCTCGGAGCTCGTCGATTCGGATTGTGCGTCGGCTGTGGCGCCCTCGCCCTTGGCCGGCACCCATAGCCTCTGGCCGGGATAGATGAAGGGGGCCCCGAGCCGATTGATCTTGCTCAGCTCCGAGGGCGTCGTGTCGAAGCGCGCCGCCACCGATGTCAGTGTGTCTCTGTCGCCGACCTGTCACCAGACAAAATATATACATTAGTATGAGGCTGCTATTGATTTTTTCAAGTATTTGATATAAAGATTGTCTCGCGCTTACAGTGCTGAACAACGCTTATCATCCAAAAAATAACCAATTTTTTTTCGAGATAACTCGCAATCGCTAAAGTAAGAGCAGTCACTCTATTGTAATCAAACTATTTTATACATTTAAAAAGGGGTAGAGAAAGGAGAAAAAAATCAATGAATGCAAAATTTTTTAGCGAAATCATTTTTATAAAAGTGTGTAGCATTTAATAGGCAAAACGGCCTGCAAATTGACACACAGGATCGATCCTTTAACGAGTTTGCCGCCCATACACATTTCCAATTAAACGGGTATAAGCCCATTTTAATCTCAAAAAATCATGTTACATCACGTATCTATACGCGCGCGTATGTGTATAGCTGGACGCGCTTCGGATCGAGCGCGCGCGGGGAATTCCGATAAAAAAGTCCTGCTAATTTGAAACTCAATTGGCCTAGATACGCGCAGATCGGCACACACATACATACACGTACATACGCCGCCCTATGTCGTGATAAACGACGCAGATTTTCATATCAATGACTGATTGAATATGCTAACGAAGCCTCGGTGTTGCAGCATCAGCGGCAGCCTGGAGCTTTTCGCCCGTAAAAACTATTTCGTCCTGCGAGGTATATACAACGGAGGTAAAATCGTCGTGCTCCGAATTGCGCTGCTGCTGCACTCGCTCTCTTTGTTTCGTCCGTGCACGCATCGAGTATATTTTCGTACGCACGTCGCACGGGTTATATGCGAAATAAAGTTAAGGCCCCTGCAGCAGCATGCGTTTGCGGTGCAATGCTTTTTTGCTCTTAGCCTATAGCTCTGTGTGTGTGTGTGTGTGTGTACAGAGTGTGTCGCTTTGGCTGCTCCGTCGGTCGCAGCTCTACTCTCATGTATCTGGCAGTTCACGAATGGGAAAATTTTCTGTGGCTGACACAAGCTCTGATAAGTTTTAGCTGCTTTTTTACTTCTGTATCCGACCTGCTCTCTCTCTCTCTCTAACTCATCCGTGCGCGCGCCTGGATAAACGCGTGTAATTTTTCTCCCGAGAAAAAGGAGAGACGGAGTGAATTCGTACAGCAGTGAATTGCGCGCGCGCGGGGGAGGAAAAACGTGCGCGGGTTTTCGAGAACTCTCGGGGTTTCCGTAATAAGCGTTGGTCGGTTGAAAGGATTTGAACGCGGATGAACGAGTCGATCTTTTGGCGTAAATGCAAAACAAAGTACGTAATACGCTTTCTGACCCGACGTGCATACACGCGCGCGCGACGCTGCTGCGTTACGTAAGCTATACACGATCTGCTGGCCTACATTTTCCGTGCCCCATGGAACCTGCCGACGACGTTCGCCAAATTAGGGCACTTATCAATTGAATTTTTTCTTCTCTCTCCTCCTTCCTCCCTCGCTGCCTCACGACCAAACTGTCATTCAATACGTGTACAAATACGGCGCGCACGTTTTACATCAATTAGTGCTGAGGCATTTGAATAATTATTCGGGTTGTAGAAATGCCGATGATTCATTTACACTCGTAGCAGGCGCGCGCGCACGTATTAATGTTTGAGCTTGCACTCGAGCGAGAGAGTCTCGTTTACAAATTATTTTCTACGCCGTATAGATATAAATTCTTTTCGTATCAATTAGCGCGAGCTCGCGCGCATTTGAAGAGCTGCTACCGCTGCCTGCTAGCGACTAATTAGGGAAAAAATGATGCCGATAAATAAATGTCAGGCAGAAATGTTTCATCGGCTTGTGCGCGGCGGCATTGCGCGAGACATACGCGCGCCATGATTTTCGCTACTCTTTTAATTACGACATACATTCTCATCATGATGAGATATATATATCGCGAGAGTCGTATAATTCCGTCGTGCACGAATCTAGCGCCGAGCAGCACTTAAGAATCACACCGCAAGCTTAATCCGACTTTAATCAAAATATAAGACCCCGTACTCTTTGTATACTATGTCTTAATCTCGGGTGGCCGCGAGGCTGCGTGCGCCAGACATACCCGAGTTTATCATAAGTATCTAAAATGTCTGCACGCATTTGTACGCGGCAGCAGCAGCAGCAGCTGTAATAGCTGCAGTGGTGGTAACATAAGCAGCATTTGTGTGCGAGCGAACGTCGTCGAGGCTTTATATTCGCATTACGCGAGTTTTAAATATTCAGGCGCTATTTCCGAGATTAGAAAAAATATGTCTGCGAGAACATGAGAAAGGGAATGAGGATGGGATGCAAAATAAAAAAAATGTTGCAATTTAAACGGGGGTGGACGAAAGAAGAAAAGGCAGTGCAAAACATTTACGATTTTTCTATTTATTTTCAACGTTCCACACTCGAGATGCAAAAATCTCGTGACATCTCGCTCTCTCTCTCTCTTTTATTCCTCGCATGTACAGCTTATACTCTTTTTATTTCCGACTGACCCAATTTATTTTTTAAATCCCGTGCATGCATGCATTAATACGCGTGATTTTATCGCGTGTCTGCATTTGCCTAGGCGTAAATGATACAAGAGCCCTCGCCATATACACACGCGTTCTAGCCGCGCGTCCAATAATCGAGGCGGAAAAACTGTGCAGGGGGTTTCAGTCGCGAGTTTCGTGGCGTGCGGTTGTATAATTTCAGCCATTTCGCGCCGCGTGCGCAAAGGTAATTGAGAACGAGTAACGACATCGGTATAGTATCAACCGGGTATAGAGAGAGCCAGAGACTAAAGCAACACGTGTGTATATAAAGAACAATAAACAGCTTTGAAACGGGCGCGTGTCCGAATTCGCTTGTGTGCTGCTGCTGCTATACTTATGCGCGCAATGTTCGAATGCATTATACGTTCACACACAAGGGCCTGAGAGAGCATCGAGGAATGTCCATTAATTTAGCCTTCCTTGGTGCACTCGGCTAAAGGGTAAAGCACTGAGGATACGAGAGGAGTGCATTATTATAGTTATGGAATTATGATGTAGTCTCTCTCTCTCTCACTCTAGCTGATACTGTACTGCCGTGCACCGCATGTTGCACCTTCTCTGTACATGGTATGTTCGGTTCATGTACTGCTACTGTATAGTGTATATAGCTAGCTAGCTAGCGAGCTGCTAGTTGCACGCACGCACATTGCATGTACGCATATTTGAAAATTCATAAATTCATTTGCACGGGCACGAAAGCACAAGCGTATACATTTGCTGAATATTACAAGGAATTCGATAGCGAGCGAACTCTCTCTCGCGTATACGCATCGGCGAAATGCATTTCAACAATTTTTGAATTACTCTCCATCTATCTCGCTCCATATACCTTTGCAAAATCAATATATAATTGCAATATATTCGAGCAAGGTAAGTTTATAATTGCGATTTTTCGACAATTGCGCATACCCGACTTGCCATACCAGCAAAAATCGTATATTACAAGGAATAATTAAACTGTGTCACGTACTTCGGCTCGTTATGCTCGTTAAATGTGCGTATACGCGGCCGAGCAGCGGCCCTATAATGAGAGCAGCACGCAGGGAATGAGATCAAAAATTGGCTTTTAATTATTTTTATTGCATCAAGCGTGCCGCTACATTATTAACGTTTACAATATGCTCTGACGTGTGTGTGTGTGTGTGTACTAGTTTATAGGTAACGTGAGAATTGCAATATTGATAATGGCTGAATTAAGTCTCATTTGCATTCGTAATATACATATGGAATCGATTCGTTGATCAAACAAATTTTACATTATAACATGCCACCAACAAATGGGAATTGCACGTGCGCCCGTGTGCAGCGTATGTACCTTTACAGTTTACATACTGTATGTGCATGTAACAGTGCTCGCATATAATCAGGCTAATGGAATAATAAAGAAATGTTATAGGTAAATTCGTGGCTACAGTAGTTGATAGTAAAATCATAGAAAAGAAATAATCCGCGTAATAAGAGTAAGAAAAAAATTTATTGTGCAATTATTGAATACATTTTTCCCCGTTTTATTATGAAAAATTATTTGTGGCAAAATTTTGTTTGATCGCTTTTAGCCTCGCTTGTGCAAAAGAAAACATTCTGATGATATACTTTTGACGTGGATATAAATTATAAAGTTATCTTTAAAAAGATGCTTACGCTACTGCCACAAAAGTGCAAAAGAAGGAAAACTCCGAAAGCGGAATTAACCCTCAAATTTTACATCGTGTCAACGTAGTCCTGAAATGGTTCTGCCGAGACTTGAACCTCGATCTAACCACTCCACTGATGACAAAGGCGTACGCTTTGAACCACGCCGCCATCAGATGGACGTACTGATTCTTACTGGTTATGGAACTTTTACATTACATTACTTTCTTTTTAAGTGATTTAATTGAGAAAGACAAATATGAGAGCAGGGTAATAAACTGTATTTTTAATATTTTTTTTCCATTTTACCATGAAGAATGATTTACGACAAAATTTTTGCTGTTAAACTCGCTTAATTATGCTGTTAATTGAAGAAAAAAAAAACAATTAGAATTAAAAATAATTATAATTAAAAATCATTATAATGCAATAATTTTCTTTTGACGTGGGCATAAATTATAAAATCATCTTCAAAAAATTGATATCCTTCTGCCACGAAAATGCAAAAGAAGAAGTCGCCCCCTTCTTAATAATGTGAACTCTGATTCTGCGTTGTGTACCTTGGAATGGTTTCGCCGAGACTCGAACCTCGAGCTATAACCACTCCACTGGTGACAAAGGCGTACGCTTTAAACCACGCCGCCACCAGATGGACGTTCTTTGCTACTACTTTTGGAAATTTTATATCGATACTTTCACTTTCCGTGAGTTATATTTTACTCGACAAGCTTCTCAGCCGACGCCAGCGGCGCCTCCCGAGCTCGGCGCGGCAACTATCGTCAACTAGTCAATACATCAAAGCTGCGATTCGAAAATTGTTCCCAGGGTGGCCCAGAGTTTTTGCTATTTTTCACACTTCGATTAGATATAATTGTACAAAGAATCTTTACATATTTTAGCGGTTTTATTTGAGTTTAATAATGAAATCTTTTAATGTGATATTTAATTAAATGATGAATCCGATTTGATTAATTCCTGGGGGGCATTCGCACAAGTGCGCGTTTCTATTCCCCCGCTGCTGATTGTGCAACAATATTTAATCTTCATGATCGCGATATTAATTCATGAGATTCGAGCGTTACGAAGGGTGCAGCAGTGCGCGCGTAATTTCAACAAATCAAATAAACAATAAGCCAAGCTTAATGCCTAGAACGCGCACATGTTAAAAATCAAACGAACCGAGAGCGATGCGATGGTTCTTGAACGGTAAGTACACGCGCAGAAAACTCGCGTGTTCGTTTCATTTATTTTACTCGGGCTCTTGTGAGATCAGACGAAAAAGAAGGATGATACCGCTTTTGAAATAAACAAATTAATTCGAATTCGATACGCAACTGAAAGTTCAATGCGAGTTCCAACTTGAAAACCCATTCGAATGTACACGCAAAATGATGCACAAGAAATATTCTTTTTTTGCGATCATTTTTCATTTGAAACATTCGATACTTGCATTAACGAGCAAAAACACGTTTTTGATAGTACTTTGGAGGTGCTGATTGAAAAAGAAGCCCTTGACAAAAGATCCCGGTATCAAATATCCATTTCAGTTGGAGCAGCAGTAGCAGTAGAGCTTTTCAACCCGTTCCATCTTTCTCTCTCATTCTGCTGTTTCTGCCTCGCACGCGAAAGCTCTTTAAAGTTACAAAACCGCACACACCAGTGCAGCTGCAGCTGCTGCTACTGCTGCGCTCATGTATAGAGCGTGTTTCGAAGCTCTCAATTAGTAACACCCAGGACTGATTATGTGCCCTCTTCGAAAAGCGTAATTATCTTTCTTGAGCTTTCTCGTTCTCTCTCTCTCTCTCTTTCACTTGCACGAGCTTGCAAGAGCACCTGCTGCTGCCGCCGCCGCTCGAGGTTGGCCTAATATGATGCGAATAAACAAGAGGAACGGTTACAAGCTCCAGCCATACAAGTTCTCTATGCGCTGTTGCCGTCACTGCCGCGGAAGTTAATTTACAATCAAGTTTCGTAATATCGCTCTCACGCGCATTTGCTGATGCACGCGGGCGTACACGTATATGTATAGAAGCATAATAAGGGTGAAAACGTTGCGTTGCATTCTCAGGAGTGGGTTCTTTGCATTTTATGCGCGTGCATGCCGCGAGAACGAGGAAATATCGATACAGCAGCAACTCGTATTATATATAAAGCTTATGTAAAGGCTGGGGCGTACATCGTGTGCGAGCGAATTTTCTAAGGGAAATTTGCGCGCTACCCTGCAAATCGTGTGCGGCATTGCACGCATATATGGTACAAGAGCGAATCACAATAGAGCTTGATGACTTACCGTATATGCGATTGTATTGATGGGTTGGGAGCGTCTTCCACCGGACTTTTTCTCTTGCGAGCTCGAGCCATCTTTGCTCTCGTTGTCCGAATCTGTGGCGGAAAAAAGAAAACAATGTAAAATATTTTGAGTTTTCGGTGTTTAAATAATTATTTAAAATATTTGCAGCAGGTTAACAGTCGAATTTCCAAATCTTGCATAAAACTCTTAAAAATTTGAAAATCACGCCACGATACAATAGAGAAAAAAATATTAGATCATATTATTTTTGTCTTCAAGCTTTATGAATGCTGAGTCACGTATTGTATCATGCGTGCTCTCTCTCTGTGCCTTTTTTCTGGCGCGCATATTCCTTGCATACCAAGCAGTGACAACGTAAGCGAAAAATTACACGTCACATGATACAAAATGTCTAGCAGCACGCCATGTATGCGGCAGAGTGCAGCTAGCAGAGGTCGACACTTCTCTCGCCTAACGAGCTCTTGGTGGGAAATCAATTTTGTTTAGGTAATACTGGCACGTGCGGAAGGTCAAGCATGGTAAACAAAAAAAAACGTTCGCACCTCGATAGAAGCCAAAAAAATTCGTGGCTTATCATTTCTGACCTTTGTTCTCTTTACGGTGTCAAAGTCATATGTCATTGAAAGGCAAACAATTTAAGTACTACAACGCGTATCCCATGTAGTCTCTTTGAAAGATTACTCTATACAAGAGACGGAGTCAAGATTATTTCCAATCGAATCGATCTATAGAAGATGACACTCCTTTATTATTTTTATTGTTTTTTATTTTAACTCGTCGACGATCGACGATTGATACGCCGACGAGTGACGAGTATAACATCGAATGGATATGAAATACATCTCTCAACGGAGACATTAAACGACGATCGGAAATCGAGTTGTCGCCTCGGCGCGCGCACTTACACTCTCGAGCTCTACTGCACGTACGCGATTATGGACTTTAATAAAAAATATTTATAAAATCAATATTTATAAAAATAATAATAATAATAATGATTGAATGTATAAAATATCAAACGTCTAAAGGTATAAATTGGTATGAAATCAAATAAATCAAAATCATTCGTTCGCCTTACGCAAACGCGTTTAGTGCTCGCTCGGCATGTGCAACCTTGTTGCCATTAGTATTATCTGTACCAATGTAAAACCTGCAACAATGCACAGATGACTTTTTCTTTATCAAACTACGATAAAGCAAAGTTGAATTTTTATTCGAGCGCTGCATCGATAAAATAAAAGCTTGAATGTATATGGAGAGCACGAGGAACGGATATAAATTTACCGGACGAGAGAAAGCGTAAAAAGAGCGGCGGTCCAAATCCAGCGGCTAGATTAGTTTTTCTAGTTGTATAATAGACAACATAATCCCTCCACTCTTTCTCGACGATTCTGCAACTCGGCTCATAATCCAGTAAACTCCGGTCCATTGAAAGTTCCATATTGTTTGTTGCACACTGCAGTAGCAGCAGCAGCCACGAGACTGCTTCTGCACACACACACACTTGATACACAGAGTAACACTCACCGACACACACGGAAACTCGCGTAGTCGCGCGATACAATATCAATTGCGCGACGACGGCGACGGCGGCCTTTTTCTCTACTTTTTCAATTTAATCGCGTTGCACACCGTACACTCGCTCTCGCGAAAATGACATCGTAGCATTGTCCATGTGTCTTTTATCGTTGGCTATATACGTCGATTCGGGCTCTTGAGGTGTCAGATAAATATTCACCTGCTATCAGAACCGTTATATACATTTATATGTATTATATATCTCTTTCTCGTCTTAGCGCCAGGTATTACCTTGGGTGCTATTGTCAAATGAAAAGAAAAGAGGAGAGAGAGAAAAGAATGAGAAAGTCAAGAGTGAGTGACACTCGATAACGAAGCAAATTTTTCTTGAAGAATAAGATAATAGGATTTTTTTTCTGCGAAAAAAAAAGCTCTTGACACACTAAAATGATTGTTATTTTTTTCCTCCTCCTCCGCCACCTCGCCGCTACCGCACTTACGCACGAAGCGTTAGGTTTTAAAGAAAACACACGCACCGCCGCGGCGTGCCACAGACCGAAATACGTAAGCGAACAATCAACTCTCGAAGTAAGTCACTGATATGTATATTTTTATATTTATTGCACGGCACAAGTGATCGGTCGCGCGCACAGTCGACCTAGCAAGCGTACAAGCAAGTAAGTAAGCACGCGCGCGCGCCGCGGCCTGACGTCTCGCTCTCACTGTCGCGCGCACTCGAGCACGAGTTGAGAGCCCGACGACGTTACAGAGGAGAGAACGAAAGAGTCGTTTTAATGGGTTTTGTGCTATCGCTTCGGTGACAGATAATGAGAGTGTAACGATAGTAATAAAAGATTATTTGACTTTAAACGCGAGAGACGACGACGACGCCTTTCGGCAAAATTATATCGCTTATAGTGCAATAAATGTGCGCGGGAGCGCAAAAAAATTCACTTGTATTTAGCGCGCACACACAATCACACTCGCGCACTGTAGTAGGTTAGGATCGACTTCTCGCTGTACAAATTTTATCTTTATGCGCACCGATGCAGAGCAACGTCAAGCGCAGTCGGATTTTGTTTCACTGCACCTGTCGTCATCACAATCTCAAAAAACTTCAGCTCACTCCTCGGAATCCATTAACAACGGCTAATCGATCGATTAATATCCTGATCTTAATAGACAGAACACAATGTACGAACGAAAGCTCGCTTCCGATAAGCGACGAATGTACAAAATAAGCACACCGATATTTTAGCACGATCCTCGTCCAGATGCTCTAAAAGCCAGAGCAGCGCTAGAGTGTCAGTCTGTGTGTATTGTACTACCGGCACCGATAGTAAAGATCGCCACCGCCGCCGCGTGCACGAGAGCGCCGAGCGCGAGACGATTTTTCTTTCTCACTCTTATATTATTTCTCTCGCGCTTGCACATACGTTCATACGTATATAGGCGCACTTCTTCGTAAAGTTATTCAAAACGTCTTTCGTTATCGCTCGTGCGAATATATATATTGCACACATGAATGCGCGCCGGAGCGAGTGTGTTCTTACGACGTCTGTCTGTCTAAGTATGTGCGCGAGTCTGTGTATGTAATATATATAAATGACCACTTGGCACATATACCGGCATACATTGTATTACTGTGAAACGGCGCGGTATACACGCACGAACGAACACTGCGCACATTTCGAATAATACGAGCTGCCGCCGCCGGGCTACTAATATTGCCGTAAAGTCGCGCTATATAGCTTCTTATTTATTTTCGAGAAATTTTTTTTCATCAAGTAGGCACTACCGTGAAAAGCTCGATAAGGCATTTTTTTTACTATTCAATCCTTTTTCGACGGTACGTGTTGTTGCACACGACCCACACACATTGACGAACGAACGACTCGCGTTATATACTCAATACATATACACAGGAGTGATTCGAAGTTTCGTCGTGTCGAGAAAAAATATTGGCTTTCGCGTTACACTCGTCGTGCATAAAAAAAACAACAACGAAATCCGTGGCTGAATTTCACGATGTTGCAGCGCGCGCGAGCGGTCGCTTTGTAAAAAAAATACACCGCCGATGTAACGCCGAGTGTGCAGCTCTCGAGAAGCAGGAACGTGCAGGAAATGCGCGCAACTATTTCTCTATATTGCCCTCGATGAAAAAAAAAAAGATACACACTGTGGATGTGTGTTATGCGCCGAGTGTTTTATCGCCTCGTGCTTCTGTGTGTCCTGGAGTATTAGCTTGTTTGTGCATGTATAAACGAGTTTCGTATAAATAAATAATCGTCCGGGGTGAGTCATTTGGAGTGCGATTCGAAGATTAAAAATATTGCTTTTTAATCAATTAAAGCCCGTGAGATTATACAATTTATCTTGATCAAATCTATCGACTCGTAAACGAGCGAAACTTTAGCTTTTGAAAACGCATACCACACTGCCACTCGGCTCCGCAGTAGTCGGATTCGCAGTCGGCAAGGCGAGTATAATATATAACATGCCACTGCACGTGCGGAGCGACGCGTGTGTGTTATAAACGCAGAAACTAATCCATCATTCTGACGAATTTCCATTGTCAGCCGATCGTTGATTGATTTCGCGAAATGCACAAATGTCACGCGGATGACAATTAATTTTCATAATTTCGTCGTAAATAAAGAGCAGCTACACGGCCTGTAGACAGTTATGTTGATGCCCGGGATTTGCGCTCTAGTAATTAAAGTTTGCAATTTCGAACTCGTGTGCGTGTATGTGTGTGCGGGGGGCGGGCTCAGTCGAAGAAGAACAAAAAAAAAAGGAAGCGAAAAAAATAAATGCAGAACTGCAAAACGTGCTCGCGGAATCATCTTATTTTTACGCTGTTGCTGCAGTAGCACGTGAAATGTGTGGTTTTTTTTCTCGCTCTCTCGATTTTGCGCCGCTCACTGTAACATGTGCGCGTTGTTTTCGATTATAAAAATAGCTGCGTATGCGGCGCTTCTCGTTTTCGACATTCATTTCCCGATTGATCTTGGATCGTCGTCACGTGGTATCGATCAAAGGCTATTCAGTCAATATGCGATCGTTCGTAAACCGTCCAATAAAACACGATAATCGGTACGTACGCGATTCGAAGACAGTACGAATCGATGATCGATACGGCGACTTATCGAATGAAAAATTCTCATGTATGAAGTGCCGTTTTAAAAATATAAACTTGCTCTGTGTACGTCTATTACAACTGCTGCTGCACGTCTTGTACACTTTTCAACGAGAGACTCTGGAAAACAGAGTTTATTTTTGGATTTTCCAAATTCGTATTACTCTGTGCGCTGCTGCACTTTACTCGCGCGCGCGTCCATCGCCAGGCACGAGAGTAAACACCACCGCGCGTACGTGTGCACTAACACACATCGATAAGTCATTGGCACGCGCTCCAATTGGAAACTTCATAAGTAAGTCAATGCGATGCATTTAAACGAAAGTGTTGTTTTTGTTTTCGCTTCTATACGGAATCGGATTATACACAAGGTACACGTGCTGCTAGGAGTAAAACCTTCGCGCGACGAGCCAGATCGCGCACGCATTACACATGCATAAGGTACTAACATTTTGGTGCAAAGTTGCGAAAAGTCACTCTCGAGCTATTTTGGATAATTTTTATTTCGGCACGCCTCGATCCTCGACAAGATAGAGAGAAGTTAGGCTGGATTATCGACTGTTTACCTTAGCTTGGCTATATATATAGGTGTGTGTGCTCATCTTTTTGGTACTAACCTCTGGAAAGTTTGTCGATAGATTCGAAGCGGCCCTCGACCTTGTTGCGGAGCGAATCCAAATCGAAAGGCGCTGCGAATCCATGATCTACACTACGACTCTTGCTCCTGTAAAGAGAGAAAAAAAGGAACGTAAATATTTATTTTCTTCCTTCGAATCCCTGTTCAATTTGTACTATGTATTACATTTATTTTCGTTAATACTTTTAGTTTAATTTCTTTTTATCCTCTCACTTCAGTTACCTTGAATGTGAAGAGTTAAGCCCGAGACTTAGAAGCTTGTAAAATTCAAAATGTTTTACGTCAAAATGTAGAAGCAAGTAATCAAGCCAAAATCAAAAAACAAATCAAAAAAAGCAATCGCAATTCTCAAAAGCATGCAAAATTGTCTTAAAAAAAAACAAGCTTGAAAAAAAATAAAATGCAACTAGCGCATGGAATACAAACCTGAAGAAACCCAAGTTACTGAGATTTTCCGTGGACTTTGTATGCGTTACATCTTGGGACATCCGTCGTGACCTGTTTTAGCAAAAAAACAAAACCAAAAAGAACAAAAGGTGAGAACATGCTTTGGCATACGTGCAAGGAGCTTACAAAATAGTAAATCATAAAATTATACCAGAGAATAATATTAATGTTTGTGAATCGTATTCATAAAAACTCAAAAAACAAGTGTGTACTGATGAATATGTTGTTAAAGTGAGCCGAAGCTGCAAGATGGTCTGAATGAAAATAAATGAAGCTTGGAAAATATCATCTTGAAAATATCTCGACTGATTCAGAAAACGAGGAAAGTGCGCCGCGCGCAGCACTTGGTCAAGAAAATTAATTCACGAACGCCTTCATTCGGCTAAAAGCAGAAACGAAATATTATGGAAGAAAAAATTCGCGAACGCATTAATCTTGTGGGTGTCTAATTTTAAATTGCTGCACGCACGCGAGTATTTACAATTACCAGCGTTATATTATACATAGCTTACGAGGGCTTTCTCGTAAAATATGTCAACATAAACACAAACGCACACATTGGAGGGGGGAGTAACGAGGACCCGCACTCTGTACTCCGCGCGTAAGCAGTTTTTTTTTGGTGCTCGGCAATGTGCCAACATTTGCCTCGTTCAAAGGTCCTCCCCCCTAAATTACGTACATGCATAATACGTTTAACGGTTAGGAAAATTGGACGGGATCGCGACGCCGGGGCAAAGACAAATCGTTCCATAAGCATTTTCCCTACTAGTATATTTATTAATCGAGCTTGGCTTTGGAGCTAGCTCGTGGTATACTGGTTACGTCACTGGCACGAGCTACGTAACCGAAACGTACGAGGGTTGATTTCCGCGGCTACGGAGCATGACAAATAGTCGCTTATATGTGTACGTATGTGTACAACGATCAAGGCTAACAACCCTGACGATCTATATATATTCGGTGTTACAACGTGTATACATGCGAGCCAGCCACGCAGTCGCCGAAATAGAGTCCTAATGAAGACAAACGTTTCTTTTCTGCGCAATACATAACACTGACACACGCACAGACAGGTTGCAGTTGTTGAGTCGAGCAGTGGTAGGCACGCACACGCTTTTTAGCGACTGCGGGATTTTCGTTTAAAGCCAATATTACCCTTGCAGTGTGTATAAAATCACGCCTACAACGGATCAATCAATTCGACCAATTCAGCCCTGAAACTAATTGCCACCCACCTGATATATTAAATGTAGTTTATTCTCGTAGCTGTAAAGGGCTATCGCATCGTTTTTGTTCCATACCGATGTTTGGTTTTCAAAAAAATATAGTCGAATTACACATCGTATAAGTTTCGACGAGCTCGTTACTACACGTAGTTAAATCGAAGCTCGCGTGCGTATATAAATAAAAAAAAAACGTGTAGCGGCGCGCACCTGCGTCATGTATTCTCTCGTGTCACCAGATGCGGACATTCGCAATCGCTGCTCGGGGAGGAAAATTTGTCATACGATCAACGAGTTTGAAGCTTCGATGATTTTGCATGTACATATGTATCGGTAGCTCGAATTTTTTTATAACCGCGAATTTTCGATAATCTCTTTTTTCGCTGTGGTGTGCGTGCTCAGTGTTTTAATTGTTTTTTTTTTTTTTCATCAATTTTTCTACCAACCGAGTCATGACATGATTGTTGTGATTATTATGAATGACTTTTTGGTACGGCCTAGATTTTAGTAAATGACATAAATGTGCGAGCAATAAAAATATAGCTTCATAATTAGAAAGCTCGTTTCATTTCAATTATGCATGAACAAGCCCGAGTGCCGTGTTGCTATCGCGCGAGAATGAGAAATTCGTCTTATGAATTGCTGCACAAGTCTCGCATGCGCAATTCGTTCGGATAAATTAAAGCGAAATAAGAAAAATATATAAAGTGTAGCGGCGCAATAATATTCACGCGTGGGGCAAAGCACTCGTCGCGTTAGTTTTTAGCGACTGCTCGATGGGCTACTTGCGTGCGTACGGTAAATGTACCGCACTACATCTATGCGTGTAATAAAGCTTCTTTTCTCCGCGACCACGAGAGTAAATACGAGGCATTGTTTGCCGAATGTATCAACATTTTTAGCGCAATATAAAGAGTCAGAGTCACTGACTCAGAGAGCAGCACACAAGCCCCCGCAATGCACAAGCTCTTTCTCGCCCGAGTCTAGCTGATGCTTTGTACAAACACCAACAACTAAACTCCATCGCGTAGGATGTATGCATAGATAATTTGCAGTCGCGCGCGCGCGCGCCACGATAAATAAAATTAAAATGTTTATTCTTTGTATTTATTATTATTTCTAATCTCTGCGGCTTTAGGCAAATATTAACGGGTGACGTCAAGTCGACGATATCGCGTTGCAAAATACCTACACACATCGATATGCATGAAAGAATCGTCATTATCGTGCAATTATATTATATGCACGTACGCACACGAACCGTGCATATATGTATATTATACACGCACTGCACAACAGGTCTCAACGGGAATGAATCATGCATCTGTGCACTTGTTCGCGACGCCGATTCAGAGAAATGCGCTCGACTCTAGCGCGATATCCCGCATTATTGCCTCAAACGTTTGCTTACTGCTTTGCGTTTGTCTGTAAAATTTACGATCGCACTTTAATTGACACCGATGAAAAATTAATTCGGCTTCTGCCGAAGAGGGGAAAAAGTGATTCGCGCGCTATTGCTAATACGCGATCGTCTACATTATGAATAGGTACCTACGTGACCGCGCGCACATCGCGCGAGTGGCTGTTGCCGTATTCTCAGGCGCACCAACGCACGCAAAAGCCGCAGCTGTCAAACGAGTTTCAATCGCGAGAGAGAGAAAGGCTGAAGTTTGATAATTCGCATCCTTCTTGTTTTTTTTTTGCTTAATCTTTTACGATCGACGTGCTTGGAATTTTTGTTCCTCGATTTTCGGAAAGAGATGTACTAGTGTGAGCGAGAATCACACGTGTGTGAATTTGAATATTACGAAATGTATACACGCGCGCGCGATTCATTAACAACTGAATGACAAAATTATCTCGCGGTTTAACGTTTACAAAAGATGTAGCATAACTTGCACGGCTCACAAGTGCGCGCGCGAAACGATAAACATTATTAATCGGTAAACCCGTTTTGCGCTCTTTGTATTATAATAACCGAAATAACGCGCACAGGTATAACGCATATAATGATAATTCTCCAAAATTGGATTTCGATTTTCCAGCATTACGTGACCCAATTTACGACGGGAGAAGGGGCGATAAATTATATAAAAGAGGGCTTCGAAAAATTACATCTTTTTTCGCGCATACTGCAGCTCCGGCGTGAGAATATATATACGCGATCGCGCGCAACGAGGAAACATCTGCGTCGCGGCGTTGGCGGTGCAGTGTCGTAAATCGCCTTGCGTGCACACTGCACGTTGACACAATCGCGCGCGCGCTCGCTTCTTCACTTCTTTACTTTATTTTTTTGTCTATATAAACCTCAGCATCATTATCAGCCGGTGCAACGAGCGTTGGCGCGCCCGACGCGAGCTTCCAGTTAAAAACGCTAAAAAATGAAGAAAAAAAAACGATGTAAATTCGAGTTGACATAGGTTTATCGTAGCGCACGACCGATATATAAGAAAAACTCGCGTTATACGAGCACGCGTTTATTAAATCGCCAAGCGTATGCATACAATAGAAATGGGGGATTCGTAAATCGTGCAAGTATAATCGCCTAATTTTACGCGGGTTATAAAATGAAATGAATCGTTGAATTTTCGATATTATGCTCGAGTCGATGATACGAGCGACGAGCTGCCTCTTTGCGCATAAGATTTCTTCGACGTTATGACTTTCACGCTCGCACATATAGATATACAATTAAGCTTGCGAGCGGGGCTACTCTGCCTCTCTTGCTGTGCAGCACTCCGAGTTGTCGCCGCATATCATCGAGGAATGTGTGTGCATGCGGCGCTCGACAGCAGCAGCAGCAGCAGTAACATGGCAAGGGGCGAACATTCTCGAACTCGTTTTCTATTGCCATTCCTGCCAGCGACGACGCCGATGCAGCGGTGGCAAATGCAGCTCGCGCCTGGACAGGACGTGTTTCGAATGAATCGTCCGATTCGAGGCACTCGTACACTATATATGAGCCATCAAGCAGCTCTCATATAAGAGGTCAATCGTCTTCCGTGCCGATATAGAATATATGAGAGTGTATGTGTATGCGTGTGTAGAGCTATAATGCGATTATACGCGAAGCTGACGTTGCCCACGTATAACAAATAGGCGTTTGTGCACAGCTGTGGCCTGTACGATGCATCGTGTATGTGTGTGCTGTATTGGTGTGTGTGTGTGTGTATGCATGTATACTCAAGTATCGCACGGATGCAGGTGAAAGGTGATTGATCGCTGCTCCGGCTCGAGCGCGACGTAACGCGTCAAAATCTAGGCTAAAGTTCAGTCCAGCAGCAGCAGGAGCACACGTATTGCGGATGTTGCGGAAAAATTTCGGTATATCATAACATCCGCCGTGTAAGTACGGGGCAATTACAGCGATTTTCGCTGATGCCGATATTTTCCATTATCGCACTCGCGAGCTGTGCAGTAGCAGGATAAATAATTAGTGTATGCAATTTTTCGTTTATCGTCGCTTTCAAAGCTTTCGAGCGATGCAGCGTATACGTATTATTATATTTCGAAGTGAAAATTACATGGACGAGAGCAGATCAAGCGTTATATTTGGAACGCGCGAGCGCAGGGGGGGGGGGCTGACTCTTGCACGTGCCTAACGAGAAGCGGCCACTTGATTCGAAAGCAAATTTTCCAAATTTGATTTGCAAAATACGCCTACCCGCGCACTTCTCTATCTCTCTCGAGACTTGACTTTACAAATATTACCCGACGTCGACGTCGTCGAGCTACCAACGCCGCCACGTCGCCTTTCTCGAACGTGATTCGTTTGACTGATTCCGATCGGTATATAGATGAGTCTATGTATATTGTATGTGCTGCTGA